TAGCTCCGACACCCCCCGTCATATAAAAAAAAAAAAAAAAAAAAGTCCAGTTGCTATGTGCAACATTGTTGAGAGAGTTGGCGATCTATGCAATAATATTGAAAATGGGAAATAGGATTTTCTAATTTGTCTTCCCTCTGAAACTTCCAGCTTTTACTTATACTCTCTCTTCTTCATACATATAAGAACAAATAAATTACAAAGTAGGGTCACCTTGCTTTAAAGAGAAATAATAAATCTCATCAAAATATTGTGAACATGACCTCAATGTCCATTGAAGAAAAAGAAGATACGCACTGATTAATTTAATTTCTTTTCCTAATTGAGTCTATTTATTCATTATTATGTTTCCTCATCAAGTTACTTTTTTTCTTGTTCAACTTCTTTTGATGAGTTCATTAATTAATTAGTGTATGATCATGGAATAACTTCTGAAATATTTGGCAAAACTAAATTTTGTCTGAATTTTGTTTTTAGTGTTTGATGATAGTCATAAACAATTATTATGCTGATTAGATCCACATATTTTTATTGTTTGGTTGGGTAACATAACTAAATGCTGAAAAGAAAATATATAACGACTACACAAATTAGACACACATATACGAAAAACTTAAATAGTACTAGCAAGAGTCATCAAACACTAATCATGTGTATCTTCTTTCTTTAATGGACATTGACATCATGTTCACGATCTTTGGTGAGATTTATTATTTCTTTTTAAAACAACGTGACCCTAGTTCTTTGAAATTTATTTGCTCTTATATGTATGAAGAAGAGAGAGAATAAGTGAAAGCTAGAAGTTTCAGAGGAAAGACAAATTACAAAATGGTTAAACAACTTTTCTTAATGACATCTTTTGTCAGAGCTTATCCCTAATATATCTTTCCTTTGTTAAGCTCATTTAGAAATATGAAATATCTCCGTATATAACCATCTTTACTAATTTTGATTTCCATAATGCTGCAGGTTTGTTTAAAGGATAGATTTAGCCATAAAATCACATGACTTAACATAATTGTCCTTAATGAAAAATATTAAAAACAAAAATAGTCGGAATGCACTAGACTACCAAGTCTAGCATGGTAGTATGATCTAGCATGCTTTAGTTAGACTGCCATATCATACTATTAAATGCTAAACTCGAGCTAGATTATCGAGTTTAACAAAGTCTAACATTATGTATTTGTAATATATCATTTGTTGTTTCATTAAGGGTATAATGGGTAAGTCATTGGATTTTACGGTTGGATTTGTATTTTAAATAAAACCTTCTACACATTTTGGGAAAGTTTAATGATTGAACTGGCAATATATGTCCAAACAAATGGTTTAATACCTTACCTAGGGACTAACCTAACCAAGGGGCCGATTCTTGGGTCAAGTAGTTCAACCAGTCTGATCGATGGGTCGGACCGTTGACGTCTTCATATCTAGCAGGTTTGAAATCCAGAAAACACCCTCTTGGGAAATTACTCATCAGTCCCCACAAGTTTGAAATATAACAAACACACCCCTATGATTCTTTACATCCTTCTTTTATTTTTACCACTTCAAGGTAAGCTCTCTTTCTCTCTATTTACCTCTCCAAATCTCTATCTTTAAGAAACAAAGATAGTCGTTCCCTTTTCCACATTGTCGTCTCTTCCTGTCTGCGCGCCCATAAAAGACTGGCGCACCTCCTCACACCTCCCAAGCTCTTCCCTTATCACCACCCGACCATCATCTCCCTCAAAACAACCAGCCATAACATGCCTTTGTTTTCACGCAATCACCTCTTTCAGGCCGGATTCTAGCCGATCCCGTTACACAAAATCCTACCTACCACCACCCCCAACATCATCGGCCACTCCTCTACAAAACCCCCCAACACCCCCTACCAAAATCGCTCCCCGATCACCACCCACCCTAGGGTTTTCATGATTTGAAGGTTGTCTAGAGTTTTTTTGGAGTTGTTGGATGAAATTGAGTGTGTGTGTGGAGTGTGTGATTGTTGTGGATTGATTGTAACCTATTCCCAACCATTTTCTTATCGTTGGTGACCAAATTTTATGGAGTTTGAAATACGCCCATTTCCTGTTTATTTGTTTACGTTAACCAGTGCCTAGTCAGTCACCCCCTTGTGCACAAATATTTGTTTGATAGATCAGCAACTGTTTGAAGATTGCATGGGTTGTTTGGTTGATTATTGACCTTTGCCCACGATCAGTTCTCTGACCCGATGCTTCAAACAGCGATGCGACACTGTTCCGATAGTTGAATCGCAAGCTAATCCAGTCCAAATGGTATAACCGAGTTTGAGGGGTGCCCGGCCTAGAGAAGGCATCGATTCCCTATCTGATCGATCGAAACGGTTGGGTCAAGCTGGGTTTTAAACATTGGTCCAAACCCCTAGAAATATTATCTTATATTAAGTCATTACTTTAAAATGTTAACAATTTTTGTAAGCAAAAAATGATAATTACTACTTAAACTCGTGATCTAACTTAAAACAGATCATGGTGCTTGCAATACTTATTATTTCTTACTACCTATTTTAGAGCTCCAATGTATAATTTGTGTAGTTGACACAGCCAAAGCTAGCAGAATTTATCAATTATTTAACTATTTTCTTTATTATTGAGAGAATAACGTATACTATCTCTACGGCTTGTGAATTTATTACGTGAATGACACTTTTCGCGCTTTTTATTGAGTGGACCTTTAAAATTGTATCACATATACACCATTTTCCTTTCTCCGTTATGTTGTCGTTGGTGTTAGTGGGATAAAATTGTAACTCTAGCCTTATAAGAAAGTGTTTTGAAATTTTTTAAAGAAACGTAGTTATGTAACATGTTTAAAGTGCATTTGCATTAATTTATTTAGAAAGAGTAGATTGATAAATTCATAAACATTTTTTTTCTCCTAAAAATTGAATAAGAGGGGTAATAGGATAATTGCTCTCATAAACCTAACGGCAATGTAACCAAGTTAGGGTAAAGGGGCATCAATGATAAAGTTTTCAAACTTTGGACATAAGCTATAAGCTAAAACACCTAAATTTCATAATTCAATATTCATTGTATATATTTTTGCCTAATAATTTTTATCTGTGATTGCAAAAACAATACGACTTTATTATTATTATTATTATTATGAGTACAAGGATTTTTGAAGGAAAAAAAGTGGAGTTCTACTACAATGTCCATAACACACATTAAATCTCTTCATGATAGTTTAACTAATGTAACATTATCCAATAACGTAACACTTCTTTAAGAAAGTAACCAAAAAAACAAAGGCGTTAATAGGTTGTGTGTTGGATCCCATATTGGGATCTCATACCCACAAAGTGTGGTACTTAAAAGCCTAGAGGCTCTCTCACCAGGCTAGTCTTTTGGGTTAGACTCTCCTTTGGGCTTAAGTTTTGACATTGTCAATGATAGAATAGTGTTTCTCTTTTATATAAAGAAATAGAAATTCCAGGAAGAATGAGAATTGAGAGGTTAAGGGAAGATAACTCTTATTGATTATTGCCAGTTAAATCCTAATTATTTTAGCCTTTATATAGGCTTAGAGCATCTCCAAATGACTCTTTATATGACCCAAACTCTTTATTATAAAGAGTCTATCGATAAAAACAAGAGTCCAACAGACTCTTTATCTTTAAAATATAAATTAGAGAGTGAGTTTGGCTCTCCACATTTAGAGAGTCAAATTTCACTCTCTATCTTCATTTTAATTAATAAACTACAAGTTCTTATGCATTTTATTTATTAATTCTTTCTCTCATTAAGTCTTTTTCTTGAAATAAAGAGCATTTTCTTAAATTTAAAGAGTTTATTAGATTTGAATAAAAATTGTGTTCTTTATATTTTAAAATTAATGAAGATACTCTTTATTTATATGAAAGATACTCTTCAAAATAAAGAGCACCATTGGAGATCTCTAAATGACTTTTTATATGACCCAAAATATTTTATCCATAAAAATAAGAGTCCAATAGACTCTTTATCTTTAAAATATAAATTAAAGAGTGAGTTTGACTATCTACATTTAGAAAGTTAAATTTCACTCTCTATCCTAATTTTAATTAATAAACTACAAGTTCTTATGCATTTTATTTATTAATTCTTTCTCCCATTAAGTCTCTTTCTCAAAAATAAAAAGCATATTCATTAAATTTAAAGAGTTTATTGGATTTGAATAAAAATTGTGTTATTTATATTTTAAAATTAATGAAGATGCTCTTTATTTATATGAAAGATGTTCTTCAAAATAAAGAGCACCATTGGAGATGCTCTTACAAATAAGAGAACTTTTATTGATTATTTTCTGCCAGACTAATTGTTTTAGGCTTTATATAACTTTAGAGCATCTCCAAATAACTCTTTAAATGATTTAAACTCTTTATTATAAAGAGTTTATCCATAGAAATAAAAGTCCAACAGATTATTTATTCCTTAAATATAAATTGAAGAATGAATTTGGCTCTCCATATTTAGAGGGTCAAATTTCACTCATTATCCTAATTTTAAATAATAAATTACAAGTTTCTATACATTTTATTTATTATTTATTATTTATCTCTTCTATTAAGTTTTTTCTTGAAAAACATATTCTTTGTCCTAAAATTTAAAGAGTCTATTGGATTTAAATAAAAAATTTGTTCTTTATATTTAAAAATCAATGAAAATGCTCTTTATTTATATGAAATATGCTCTTTAAAATAAAGAGTACCATTAGAGATACTCTTACATATTATATTCTAATTCTAGAAGGACTTTAATTGTTTAATTCTAAAGATATTCTAATTATTCTAATTAGATAATAGCATAATTATAAAATGACTCAACATAATTATCCTAATTCTATCCTAATTAAGAAAAAAAAAAAAATTCCTACCAATGTGGGACATTCTAGGTTACTTTCCTTGAGTGACGACTTTACAGCTAGTTTTCTACTACACTTTCTTCTCATAAATAGATCCAGGTGAACCAAGCTCAGTAGCAGAGAATATGAGACTGAGTGAGCTGAAAAAGAAAAAGAAAATTATGAATAGAAGTTGTCTGATGCTTCTTACCAAGTCTGTTGATCCTTTAATTATTCTGTTTCTCCTTTGTCAAATTGCAGAGCCAGCAACGGACAGTTCTGCAGGGCCAGCAATACCGCCTTCTGCTGGGCCAGCAATACCGCCTTCTGCAGGGCCAGCAATACTGCCTTCTGCTGAATGTATTATCTAATCTCTCTTCCTTAATAAATATTTTCAGTAAATTAACATTTATTAATTCAGTTTATGTCAAAATATTTGGCAGCTGAGGCTCTTTCCACAATCATATTCAACTTAGTTTTAAGTTCGTCACCACTTGTTTCAGAATCCTATTGTGACGAGGAGCACGATCTTGGTTATGGCAAAGTCATCAATTGCACCAATATCAGCAATACTTGGCACATCACTCACATGTAAGTTCTAAAGAGCATATCATTGCAATGTAAGCTTGACTCTGATACAATACAGTCAAATTGATCCAGGATCCTTATCATAACTAAGGTTTTCATGTAAAATTCATTCATACTTGTGGAACAGAATTTTGAGGAGTGTACCTTTAGATGGATATATCAGTGCTGTTGTGAAAAATCTTAACTACCTGGAGATGCTGTAAGTATAATTGCTTTTAATCATTTCTTTTCCCCTGACTGTACTCCCCAGTAACGTAGCTGGGCTCTCTCACATTTGCCACAGAAAGAGAGTAATTCCCTCTCTGGGCAATAAGAGGTACCAGCCCGGAATCATAGAAATAACCTTTGGCTGAATCTTTGGTTATTTTTACGTCCAAACTCAACAGTGATCTATCCAACAACAATCTTTACGGTTCCATTCCTCCCGAACTGGGGAGTTTATCTCATCTTACTCACCTGTAAGTGTTTTTCTATACTACAAGTTCAATGATAATTTTTTTATTTGAGTGAGATTAGGGTGAACTCTATGTTACAAACATTGCTATAATGAGCCAGTGGGTTTGTATGATGATCAGAAACCTCGCAAACAATAAGTTGACAGGGTCAATACCTCCGAATTTGGGGAATTTGACGAACCTAGCCATTCTGTAAGTCTTGTTATAGAAATGAAAATTAAGGCTTTTAGATCCGATTAATTTTCTCCTAGTGAATTTATTATTATGGATTCTATATGCTACAAACTTTGCTATGATGAGTGGATTTGTGTAATGATCAGATACCTCTACGGCAATCAGTTGGCTGGACTTATACCTACGGATTTGGAGAATTTGAAGAAGCTAGAAACACTGTGAGTGTCGTTATAGAAATAAAAATCAAGGTTTCAGTTCCAATTAATTTTCTCCAAGTGGAATTATTATGAATTCTGTGTTACAAATTAACTTCACAATAATGAGCCTTTGAATTCGTATAATAATCAATAATCAGGGACCTCTCATATAATCAGTTGACTGGACCTATACCTGAGCGTCTGGGGAATTTAAAGATGCTAAAAACACTGTAAGTTTTGTCGCAAAATGATCGTACATTAATGTTTTTAGTTCCTGTCATTCTCCCAGTGGGTTTATTATGAATTCTATGTTACATTACTATAATGAGCCTTAATTTGAATTCGTATGATAATCAGAGACTTCTCAAAAAATCAACTGACTGGAGCTATTCCTAGCCATTTGGGGAGATTGGAGAAGCTAGAAACACTGTAAGTCTTAATATTGAAATAAAAGTTTCCTAGTTCCATTTAGTTTTCTTATATAAAGATAGAGATATGGTTCTATCCATTCCTTTGTCTTCTAATAATTCTGCTTTGCCGTCGCAGCTACCTGTTTAAGAACTTTCTCAATGACAGCATCCCACCATCTTTTGGTAGTCTTTCATCTCTGGAAGACATGTAAGCATCTTCAGAAACAAAGTACTTTCCTTATTCACTTCATTGGATTTGCGTAATCTCATGTTTATGGGTTTATTATGCAGGGACTTATCGTTTAATAGGCTATCAGGCTCAATTCCTGGTGAACTTGGCAAACTTGGCAAACTCGAGACTTTGTATGAAATCTTCTTTCGGTCTCTCTCTACTGCACGTCATAAACAAATGATTCTCACAATCATTAACCCCATTATTTCTCCATTTTATTCATAGATATTTTAAGGAGAATGAACTAAACGGTGCACTTCCAAAAGAACTTCGAAATTTAAGCCGTCTTGGGACTCTGTAAGTATATCTAGGTGGACGTACAAGACCAAAAGGAAGGATAGGATGATTTTTTAGTAAAAGTTTTTTTTTTTTTTTTGTTTTGGTTCCTGGAACAATGAATTTGGGTCTTGACCTTTTGGGAGTGATTATAATGTTGTTGCAGCTCTTTGTCATCCAACAATTTCACTGGGAATTTGCCCGACGAGTATCAAAATATTACGACCATGAAGTATTTGTAAGTGAGCCATCCTTTACATTGTTTTTGTTCTTTTCAGCTTGCAATAATTTTCTATATATTCATCTTTGTAATAATTTTCTTCCTCGGCAACTTGTAGCTAATTAATTTCTTTTGCAGTTACGTCGCCGGGAACTATTTGACGGGTCCGTTTCCCAAATTCGTTATTAAATGGGTCAATCTCTCTTCCCTGTAAGCCTTTTTTACTGTATTATATATCTAAATGTTAATCAATATTTCAGTCATTCTAAATTTTGACCCTAATGATATAAATCGAGAAATTGTAGCCATAATGAATCCGGATCTCGATCATTAAAACTTTTCAATTAGGATACAAGTCAGGGCTGATCACCGATGCAGCCTGCACCGGTGTAAGCCTTTTGACATTGCAGCGCAGGCTTGCTGGTTGGCCCGATGCATCGTCGGCATTGATAAAGGCCATGGGTTGGCCATATGACAATGGGTCAATGGCCAAACTCAATGCCATGCAATGAGTCGGAGTTATAACATGGTTTCGATAGAACGGCGTGACTATATAGTTTTACAATAGTAAGTCTTTTAGGATGATTAATTATAGAGGAACAGTCAGCTTATTGCATTTTTGGATATTCTCCGTTGCTCACAGAGATCTCGGAGGAAACAATTTCGAAGACAATCTGCCTTCGGAAATTTTTACAATGACTAATCTTCAGACTTTGTAAGAAAAATTCAATCTCGTGCTTTTTCTTGTTGCAGAAATGAACTCTTAGTTATTGTGATACTTTCTGGCATGTCTTTGTTGTACCAGGAGGGTTACTGATCTGAACCACACCGGTTTTCAGTTACCAATGTCAATTAATTTGACAAACATGGGTACTCTGTAAGTAGTCCAATTTATTTGTTACACACCATATATCTATTCCTGTAAATTGTAGGAATTTTTTTTTTTAGATCCTTAATTTGTATATATTAAGTTATCTGACAGATCCTGAACTCCAATTGATTTGACTAATTTTCTAAGGGTACTGCGGAACTGCAATATCATCGGTCAAATCCCATCATTTATATTTGATGAGAACACATATATGAGCCGACTGTACGTCTCTTTCCTGATAAAATACAAAGTTTTTGTTTAGATTTCTTCTGTCGTTCTAATGATAACTGTTCATTAAGTCACTAATAATTTATTCGAGTACCTTCAATGACTAATTATTCCAAGATATTATTTATGTACATTGTAGTGACCTGAGCTTCAACAAGTTTACTGGTGTGATCCCAAATTCCATTCTGAATCTGAAATCAAGTAGTAGCATGTATGTGATAACTTTTCTTGATCACCGTCAATCTATCTCTGTTCTCCTTCATCACTAGATTCACTGACGTTAATTGGCATCTTTGGTTTCAGGTTTCTTTCCGGAGATGTGATCAATCAGGCAATTCTCCGCTGGATTAATAACACAGTAAAATCTAAGGGGTATATATATATATATATATTTATATATATAAGAGAAGTTAATAACACTTATTGCATCAGGTTGCATGAACTTTAATTTCACCGTAGATCATATTTCATATAGTACAGACAGCTGTATATGGTTACACAGTGTTGATGAATCCTCTTGTCACCCGTATATATAAGTTTTAGTTCTAAATACCTTACCTGACTAAAAGTCTAAACTATTTAGTAAAAGTCTAGCATTAATATTTGGCAACTTAATACATTGAACTTGACCGCCAGAAACCTTTAGATTATAGGTAAATAAAAGGTGCAAGTCTCAATAATATTAATTAAGCTTCAAGACACCCTTTCTAGTTAAATTATCACTCCACCTAAAATGTTAAGCTAATAAGTGTTGGAAGCAAGATGCGCACAAAACTCACAAGGAAAGAGGAAATAGAAGAGGAATTAACAAATCAAACTTCTCCCTTCTTCGAACATAGCTTGAGTACATGGCTATATATACTACTCAAAAGAAAACTTGAGTCTAAATTTAAGAACATATAATGCTATTCACATCCACTTTACGTTTTACAAACCAAATGACGAAAAAGAAAGAGAAAAGTATTAAAGTAGTGAAAGAAGAAGAAGACGAAAAATAAAAATAAAAACTGGAAAAGCAGACCCAAGAAAAAGGGGAGGAGAAACAGACTGCAGACCAATAACCAACAAAAAGTGGGGGAAAAGTAGGGATTTTTTTATTTTTTTTTCAAAACCAGTTTTAGTTAACTGGTTTGACATTGCCCTTAAACCGTTATCCAAACCGGAAAATCAGTTTTGGTCATTTTTGTAAATCAAAACCAAACTGGTTAATTTGGAAAACTGGTTTTTTGGTCCGTTTTCTCGGATTAGTTCGGTTTTTATTTTATTTTTTAACCCTAATGGAAACCTTAATAATAAGATTCCCTTTTTTGTCTCTAAGCCAAAGAAAACGATCTTCCATAGTTATTTTGCAACCATTCTCCATAAGCTGCCCAATACTGATCAAAATATTACTTTTCATTTCTAGAATGTAATAAACATTAGGAAGAATCTTATGGCTCCCATTCTTTGCCTCAAACAAAATTGTACCTTTACCCTTAATCTTCACCTTTGATTCATCACCAAAGCGCACATGTCCCATCACTTTGGTGTCAACTTCCGCGAATATGTTTCTATCGCCTGTCATGTGGTTGCTAGCTCCATTGTCTAGGTACCATAAACTCTTGTCATGACTGGATACTTCTTTAAGTGTAAGGAGTAATGCAGGCTCTCCCACATCTTCATTGTGCATAATGAGCTTTGTCTCCTCTTCTACTTCCTTGGTTGGACACTCCCAAGAATAATGCCCATATTTTCACAAGAATAACATTCAATTTGACTTGTGTCATTCTTTACTTCATTGTATCTTTCATAGTTGCCTCTTCGTCTTCCTCTTCCACGTCTTCTTGAATAATTTTGATTTCTTCCCTCTTGAGAAGAACTTTGCTCATCTTTTCCTCTTCCACGACTACGTTCTCGTCCACGACCTCTTCTACCATTTTTATAAGCTTCTCCTTTGGCTTTCAATGAAAGCTTTGGTTGCAACGCATGCTCCACATGCTCTTGCTTGCCTTGGTTCATTCTTTCTTCATGGGCCTGTAAGGATCCATTTAATTCGTCGATGGACATGAACTCCAAATACTTAAGACTCTTCAATGGCTACCACCACATGGTTGAATTTGGAATTAAGAGAGCGAAGAATCTTCTCAACAACACAAATCTTTCTCCAAGCCTCTTCTTTTGATTCACCACTGTCAAGACTCTTGTGAAGTAATCAGAAATGGATTCACTCTCTTTTATCAAAAGAGATTCAAACTCGGCCCTTCTTCACTTTTTCAATTCCCATGACGGAATTTCGAAGAGTATCCCATGCTTGCTTGGAATTGGTTTCGTTGGCACATATTATCGTCTAGGCCTTGATGAACAACAGTAAGCACACATTAATCCTTCTTCCTTTCTTTCTCCAAGGCATCATTTTGAGCTTGATTCAACTCCTCCTCATTTTGAGGTTTTACATAACCTTTTTCAACAATCTCCCATACTCCTTGGGAACCAAGGATAGCCTTCATTCAAATTGCATGCCCAATTCTCATAATTGTGCTTGACGAGTTGTGGATATTGGAAAGAAAGAGTGGGTGCTTTAGAAGACATTCTATTTAATCAAGGCTTTGATACCACTTTGTTGGAAGCAAGATGGGCACAAGGAAAGAGGAAATAGAAGAGGAATTCACAAATCAAACTTCTCATTTCCCTTCTTCAAACATAGCTTCAGTACATGGCTATATATACTACTTAAAAGAAAAATCAAGAGTCTAAATTTAAGAACATATAATGCTATTCACAACCACATGACATTTTACCCACCAAAAGACATATTTTGGTTTTCCTAGTTTCTCGGTTTCATTTAATAGTTAGTAGTAAATTGATCATAACCTGCTCAAATAAAGATCCAATTGATGAGTGATTTAAAACTTTGAAATTTAGACCGACAATGCTTTAATTTGACATATTATACACTGAATTTGGATATAGACTCTTAAAATTCTGGTTGAAAATTAATGTTTTGCAATAAAGTCAAGTTTAATTTTCAACAATAAGACGGATTCAATAAATGTTAATATTTAGTCTAATATTGTCATGTCATATGAGCAAACATAAAAGTACATTTCTGCTTATAGTAGAAGGTGCATGTCTGTGACCATATATACTTGTTACACATTATACAAAGTTAAAGAGAAATTTCCACTCTTTTGTGAAATTATTGATTATTCTCTTGCAGGGGTATTTCATACAATAATTTTACAACTGAAGAAGCAGCAGTAAAGAAGTATGTGAAAGGAAATAAAAATACAGAATCAAATCTTTGCTATTCTTTTCTTCTACTTTTTACTTTTCTTAAAATTATTTTTGCCTTTCAAATATAACTTAATTATAAAAGAATCACTCTTCTATGAAATTCCTGATTATTCTGTCGCAGGGGTATTTCACACAATAATTTGACTGTTGAAGCAGAAAAGAAGAATGTGTAAGGAAATAGAAACACAGAATCAATCTCCACTGTTCTTTTCTTTCTTTCTTTCTTTCTTTCTTTTTATCCCGAAAATTCTTTTTGTATATCAACTATCACTTATAAAAGATTCACTTCATATTTCATGGACTTGTTTGCATGTTGCTGCTGCTCAACGGTTGAAACAATTATAGGTATACTATATCTTCGTCATTAAAGTAAAAGATATACATGTGTATCTGCTAAACTATCTACCAAGTATTGTAATATTTTATTCTCATATCAATAGAGGAAATATATCATAAAATCTGTAAATTCTCATCTTGCAGGAATCTTTCAAATATAAATATGTAAGGAAATTCCATCGTTCTCCCATTCTTTTCAGCTTTAAATTTTACTTCTGGATGTCTCTCTCTTTTTAATCTTTGCATGGACCTGTCTGCATGTACTGCTGCAACCAGTGAACCGAATAACAGGTGAGTCCATATCTTCAATATTCTGCAATTAATATAACCCTGAATTTTTCTCACCAATTGAATTGTGTTCTTTAGGGAATCCCTCAAGCAGATCATGGATAATCGTTGTGGTACAAGAAAATCCAAGTGTACGTTTATTCTTCAGCAAGCACACAATTTGAGCCTTGATATGACAAAAATAATTTTAATTATACTTACATTCTTGTTTCTTTCAGACCATTCTTTGTTTATAAATGCTGGTGGCGAGCGAAAAAACTTTGAACAAAATGTCTTTGATGAAGATAATTCAACACTGTTAACTACTTTGTATGAAAATTCAGAAAAGCCCTGGGCTTATAGTTGTTTGGGAGAGTTCGAATCGTCAAGCGATTCCACAAATTACATACAGAACGTTACATGTGGAACTTCTGTTCCTGAGTTATATGTTAAAGCTCGTATTTGCCCTCAATCTCTAACATATTATGGTTTCTGCTTACACAATGGCCATTATAATGTGAAACTTCACTTCGCTGAAATTGTATTTGCAAAAGATGAAGACTATAGCAGTTTAGGGAAGCGAGTTTTTGATATATATATTCAGGTAATGCTTTAATTCATTATGCCAATTTTCAGTTTTGCCATCTACTAAGGAATTCTCCATTACAGGGGAAGCAATTAGGAAGAAATTTCAACATAAAAAAAAATACTGGGAATACTCCAAATATGGAGTGGATTGAAAATTTCAAAGATATTTATGTTCATGATAATCTACTGGAGATCCGTTTATTCTGGGCCGGAAAGGGATCTAATTATGATCCGCTTGATCTGAATGGACCTCTCATATCAGCTATTTCTGTCACTCGAAGTACAAATTTTCACACTTGCCCTTCTGTTTAATTTTGTTCAAATTCCCATTTTTATGACTATGCTGACAGTATGGTTCTTGTTGCAATCTACTTTTGTATTCAGACATCAAACCATTACCGATAGCATGGATTGCGGTTGCTTCTGTATTAACTGGACTTCTTCTATTGGTTCTTGTATTGGCTTTTATGTGGAGAATGGGATATCTGGGAGACAGAGAGTTGCGTGGTAATGTGCAATAAATTCAAATGACAAACTTAAATTCTTTTGTTAAGACAATTTTAGTTATGCTTTTATTTTTTGAATCTGTGTAGTGACAAAGGTGGAACTCCGAGGCAAGTCTTACACTATTAAACAAGTGAAAGATGCAACTCGAAATTTCAGCCCTACGAATAAGATTGGCAATGGGCGTTTTGGGATGATATACAAGGTTATACTTTAATTATGTTGGGATGAATGTTTAGTATGTAAATAATTTATACATTTGGGCACTTTAGAGCATCTGACTCATTATAAAGAGTTTATCTATAAAAACAAGAGTCCAATAGACTCTTTATCCTTTAAATATAAATTAAAGAGTAAATTTGACTCTACACATTTAGAGAGTCAAATTTTACTCTCTATCCTTATTTTATTTAATAAACTACAAGTTTCTATATATTTTATTATTAATTTTATCTCCTATTAAGTATCTCTCTTATTTATTAAGTCTAATTTAAAGAGTCTATTAGATTTAAATATACATTTCGTTTTTTATATTTAAAAATCAATGAAGATACTTTTTATTTATGTGAAATTTGCTCTTTAAAATAACTAGTACTATTAGAGATATTCTTATTTATTACTGCTCTTTGTTTTGTGTAAGGGTCAATTGCCAGATCAAACGGTAGCTGTGAAGAAGCTTTCTTTTCAATCAGACATTGATCAAATAGGAACTGAAGTCTATGCCTTGAAACAGTTAAAGCATGACAATCTTGTCGAATTGTTGGATGTTTATTCCAAAAAGGACCTACACTTGCTGATTTATGAATATATGGAAAAAGGCTCACTTACAGAAGTATTGTTTGGTAAGTTTTCTTTTAGTCATAATTTTTATTTTTTTTTAATTTTTTTACTTTTTATTTTTTTTTTTTTTTTCTTTTTTTTTTTTTTTATTTTATTTTTTTTTTTTTTTCTTTTTTTTTTTATGTTTTGTTTTTTTTATTATATTATTTTTTTTTTTTTTTTTAACAACATTAATGTTGTTAATTTAAGCAGATGAGTCAAATTTTAAAGAGACACTTGATTGGCCAAAGAGAGTTAACATATGCCTTGGAATAGCAAGGGGTCTAAAGTATCTACATCAAGATCATACAAGTGGTAAAGTTGTTCACAGAAATGTTAAAGCAAGTAATATTCTACTTGATGGAAATCTTAACCCTAAGGTTTCGGACTTTGGACTGGCAAAGCTTTATGACGAGGAAAATCCATATCAGTTCATTAAAGAAATAGGAACAGTGTAAGAATCATTTGCCATTTCTTTTGAATCAAACTAACAAGTTATTTGTGCCATTTGTATGATTCCTTGTTATTGTTTTAGAGTAAATATGGCACCTGAGTATGCAATGCGGAAAGCCATAACAGACAAAGCTGATGTTTATAGTTATGGAGTACTTCTGCTTGAAATAGTTAGTGGAAAGAGTAATTCAAAGAGCCAAAAAAACCAAGAGAACGATTATCTTTTAAATACGGTGAGGGATATAGACCAAATTTTATGCAGAGCCAAGTAGTTGAGTTTTCAGATTCCATTGTACATTTGAGGGCTTACACTGTTGCAATTATGCAGGCTTGTGTTTTACATTCAGAGCAAATGCTTTTGAACTTGGTGGATACAAATCTGTCTGGAGAATATGATAAAAAGCAAGCTCTTAAAATGCTGGATTTGGCTATACAGTGCATTAATCTTTCACCTACTCTGAGGCCTACAATGCTCGAAATTGTGAGTGAGCTTGAGCAAATTTCTAATGTCAACGCTCTCCCTCAGCTTGATTTTTGAGCATTTGGTTTTTATCAAAATCGTTTATGGAATAGGCTTCCTACCTTTGTCCTTGTCTCTTTTTTTGAGGTTCATGTCATCATTTCTTTTATTTTCTTCTGGTTCCTCTGTTTTCTGATTGTTTTCATATTACTCTGTTAAAGAAGTTTTACAGAAGTCATACCATTCTGTGGAACCTCAAATTAAATTGATAATAGTGAGTGTGATTGTCAATAGTAGTTTTTCTGAAGGAAAAGACATATTTCTCGGAAGAAGGTCCACAAAGTTTCTGTTTTTAAGTTCCTTTGCATGCCATTCAAAGCTGAAGATCAATTTGTCACATCCAATCACAAATGTTAATACAAGATCTAACAATTTGTCACAAATTCAATTTAAAAACCCAGTCAGTCCCGCCATTAAAGTTATAGAATCTTCAAACTTAATTCCTTTCTATTGTCAGTCAGGTTCTTTGCTTCCTATTAGAATCTGTCCCTTTTGTGCCTTTAAATTTTTAATTTTCGTTGTTAAGTCTTTACAACTTAGTGCAGCAAGAAAATTAATGCTCTCACGTTAGCTAGAGAGTCAGATTCAAACCTGTTTCTTGCAAACGTTTACAACCATACTCTGTTCTTCTCCGTGCTAACATTTCTATCTTCTCTTTGCAAGAAATAAGACCTTAAACTTTTTTCTGTTTTGGGAGCTCTTCCGTTCTTTCTATCACATACGTTCTTGAAAAGTTAAGGTATGTGCTATTTCGAAATCCCTTTCAAATTTATAGCTAAGTTCTTTGTTTGTTTGTCCATTAAATGTTACCCAAAAAACATTCAAAAGTTGATTTAAGCCATTAATCCGTATACGTCAAATAAATTAGACTTTTATTGATGAATACTAAAAATTAAAACAACAAAACTTAATAATTCAGATTTGAACATGAATTCACAAATAAGATTCGAACGGAAGTTATGGCGACAGATGCTATGATTAAGACGCTGACAGATAAGGTGTTCAGGCCTTTAATTAATCGAGCTCAGTTTGCACTTGATTTTAAAGATCAGTTTGAAATAAAATAATGAAGACAAAGCTTGAGCTTATGACAGCCTTCCTCTCCTCTGCTGACAACCTCAACTCATCATCAGGAAGTTGTTCAAAGAATATTGCCTAATATAACCATGCCACGTTATACATAAATTGAACATCAAATGGTCTTATAACAAAGTCTCATATATGAAAATAAATCTATGGCCTAATTAGTTTTTTCTTCGAACTTGTCTGGACCAAATTGATAAAAAGAAAACAAACGGAAAGATCAAGGAAGTCCACTCTGTAATCCATTAAAATATCACTAAAAATGCTCCAAATCATGTAGAGGGAGTGTTGACCTTAGGTGAAAGATTCCTTAGAGCATTGGACAGAATTTGATACTTGGAGTCTTGGGTGCATCTGCAAAGTTCAAAAGTTCAGAAGGCGCTTTAATAAACTCTGTTTGGGTTTAAGCGTAAAATGTAAAAAGCTTAGCAAAGTGCACCGTTTTGTATTGTAATATTTGTGTGTATATAAAACACACCGTTTTAGCTTGTATCCCCAACTATAAAAAGCTGTAACTGTTCTTACTCATTTCAGTTAATGAATTTACACACTTTTACTACATTTTTCTTTCTTCTACACGTTCTAGAACTCTATTCTTTCTTGAACTCTCCCAAACTATTTTCATGGTATCAAAGCCGAGACAAACGTCTATGGCTAATCTAAATCCTAAGACACTTAATTCTTCTAAATCTGAAATCGAACAAGCTGGCTCCGCAAATGCTACTAGCTCAAATGCTTACTCATCTTTACCAACTCTTAATGTGAAATTGGTAGAGAAGAATTAAGCATACTGGCGCTCACAAGTTCTACCATCTCTTGCTGCTTACAAGCTAGATGGCTTCATCACTGGTGAGTCCCCTTGCCCTCCCATGTTTCAATTTGAGAAATTGATAGATTCTAAGCAATTAATGAAGAAACCAAACCCTAGATATTTTAGCTGGAAAAGAACTGACCAATTCCTTGTGAGCTGGTTAAATTCATTAATTTCAGAGTCCATGTTAGTCACGTAGCAAAATGTACAAGTGCTTACGAAATATGTGTTGGTTATAAAAATATAAAATGCCAGAAACGGTATCGTTTTAATATGTGCTAAAGCACTGCCGTTTTGTAAAGAACAGTTGTATAAAAAGGGAAGTATCTTCCCTAACTGTATTTAATTTCTGTTAAGAAGACAATTTCATTTTTGCTCCTTTCAATTACTCTCTCAAATTCTCTCATTTTCCCACATGGTATTAGAGCCTTGACTCATGTCAATGGCAAACACATTCAATTCTTCATCAATGTTTAACGACATTGAAGAATTGCTTTGAAACTCAGCTAATCTCACATCTTCAGCTCTAGCTTCCAGTCTACAGGTTATAAACCCAAAATTAAACAGTAACAATTATCGTTTCTAGAGTTCACAAGCACTCTTTGCCGTCGATTCCCATGAACTTGAAGACCACTGGCTCGATAAGGTTCCTTGTCCTTCACCACTTATTAGTTGCAACACTATATTAGATGACAATTTAGGTGAAATGTCTGAAGGAGTTAAGGCAAGTAAAGATTCATTCGATGAAAAGATTAATCCTGCTTACATTTTGTGGAAGAAAACAAACAAATTTCTTGTAAACTAGCTCTTAGCATCGATCTTTGAGACCAAGTTTAGCTATGTTTCTAAATTTCGATTTGCGAATGGAATCTGGGTAGCTTTAGAAAATGAATTCATTACAGACTCAAAAGCTAGAGCCCTTCATCTTAAAAACTTACTACAGACCACACAAAAAGGTAATCTTAGTATCGGAGAATATATCAACAAAATGAAAGAAATCGTTGAAAGTTTTTCTACAAGTGGCTCTATTGTGTCAGATGAAGACCTTTTGCAATTTTTTTTGGATGGATTGGGACCAGAGTTTGACACAGTTGTTGTGAATCTCACCTCTCGACTTGAATCTAAGATAGACAAAGTCACATTACAAGAGGCACAATTTCTTCAATAGAAATATGAGATTCGGTTAGACTGATTTAACTTTACAAACCTATACAACAGTTATGCACTTATAGCCTTAACAGGCAACTCTACTGGTTCTTATGATGAATTTGACAGTGTTAATGTCTTGGCAAATCAACCTGTTGGAAGTCAGCACGCGACCAAATCTACTGAGTCTTCTGTTCACAATAGTGTACCTTCGTTGATATCTCTTGAGAGCCCTCATTATCCTCAAACCTATACTATTCCAACTTCATCCTCATATATACCATATGAAAACAATGCAGTTAACACTCGATCTCTTGGTTCTGTGGTGTATGGTCGTGGCGGAGGAAGAGGCAATGGAAGAAACAGATTAATCTATCAAGTCTGCAATAAAACAGGCCATTCTGCCGTTTAGTGTTATCATAGGTTCAATGCAACCTATATTGGTTCCTTTTCACCTTCAGGCAATGCTCCATCACATTATAATGGCTCTCCTCATAATGGTGGATAGAACAGATCTTTCTTTGCAAGGACTCCACATTCAAGTAGTGCTAGTCTTTAGAACTTTTCTGGTTACCAGTCACACTTCCATTCTCCAAATGGAAGCAATGTCCCTTCTTTCTCAAATTTTGGTATATCTGGTCCGCAGATGCCTGGCACTACTACTCCAACTCAATTTATTGGTTTTAGTGTTCCTAGTCAACAAACAGCAATATCAGATGCTCAAGCTCATTTTGCAGCTACTAGCTCAGCTTCTAATCATCATTTTTCCTGCCCATTTCATCATAGTCAACACACTCAACATGCTTCTCCTACTGCTCTTGCTATAGCAGTGACTCCAACTGATCCAGCTTGATACATGGACTTAGGGGCCACTGATCATGTCATATCTCACTTGGGAAATCTGAATGTCAGCAAGCAACATGAAGGTACCGATCATCTACAAGTCGGCAATGGTGAGTGTCTCAATATTTCTCATACAGGTTGCTCATTTTTACCAAGTCAATTACATACAAAGTGTTTACATTTAAAAAATATATTGTGTGTTCCCTAAATTACAAAGAATTTGCTTATCGTATCTAGGTTTACCAAAGATAATGATGTAATTATAGAGTTTGATGCCAATTCTTGTGTTGTTACGGACAAGCTAATCAAGGGAGTTCTGCTGCAAGGGAGACTTAAAGGAGGGTTGTATCAATTACACATCCCATCCACACTCACTTTGAATTCCCTATAGACCCTCATTTACTTCTTTGTTTCAGTCTCCTAGTCTCACCAATCTTTTGTCTCAATATGGTAGCCCTTTGTGTCAACCTAAAAATTTTGTGATGAATATTCAAAGTGTGTCCAATTATGTTCCAGAAATTGTCCTGCTATGTGTCAGCCTCTGGTTTCTAGTGTCCACATTAATGCCTCTGCAATGATTGATAAGAATGAGTCTAGCTCTGTTTCAAAAGCTAAGTGTTCAGTTGCTTGTAAGCCTTTGGCTTCTAATGTCTCAAACAATAAATTTCATTCTTTTACTGTAAACTCTGGTGACAGCACAGTTCCATCAACTGTCTCTTCATGTAATGAGCTTAGCACTAATAAAATTTCCAATAACTTGCTTACTGAAAATTCTAATGTGATACTTGCTCGTCACTGCCAAAATGTTGTTGTAGACAACTCCACTACTACTAATTTTAATGCTTCCAGCTTTAATATAGCTGCTACTTGTTCCACTTCTCAATCTCATACTGATGTTGTTAATAATTCGTTGATTCTACCATTGCAATCTTTGCTTGCAATTCTAATAACACTACTACTGTTTCTAGAGATAATGTTGTGTGCCTAACTACTAGTAAACAATATCATGATCACATGTTATGGCATAAGCGGCTAGGTCATCTTCATCCTATGAGTTTACAAAAAATAATTTCTGGATTTTCAAAATAGCACACGTCTTCATAATTTAAGCTGAGTACTCCACTTTTTTGTGACTCTTGCAAGCTAGGAAAATTACATCATACCAATTTTCCTCCTTCACAATCACACACCACTTTTCCTCTAAAATTAATGCATAGTGATGTATAGGGTCCTGCCCCTTTGCCTCTATAGAAGGGTTCAAATACTATATTCATTTCTTAGATGATTTCAACAAATTTACTTGGTTATTTCCTCTTCGCACTAAATCTGAAGTCAAATCAGTGTTTATTAAGTTTCACTACTTAGCCGAAAGACAATTTGGATGTAAATTCAAATGTCTTCAATCTGATCAGGGAGGCTGATTAGGGAAAGTATACAAAGCTTTCCTTACTTATCTCATAGATCAGGGCATACAAATCAGGAATTCTTGTGCATACATTCATCAACAAAATGGCAAAAGTGAGAGAAAACATAGGCACATAGTTGAGACAGGTCCAACTCTTTTAGCCCATGCATTCATGCCTCTTCATTATAGGTGGTTAGCTTTTGAGACTATTGTTTTCCTTATAAACAGAATACCATCTATTACTCTTAATTTTGTTACACCTTACCAAAAGTTGTTCATCAACCTCTTATTTATGATACTCTTAAGGTCTTTGGCTACTCTTGCTTCATAACAACAAGTTAAATTTTCACTCTACAAAGTGTATTTTTATAGGTTACAGTTTGCTCTATAAAGGTTACAAGTGTCTTAAACCAGTTGGTACCATTGTTATTACACCAAGTGTTCAGTTTAATAAGAGTGAATTTCCTTTTAGTACACATAAGTTTGTTGACAATCAGGTTTCTTCTTTAGTGTCTTAGTCCAATTCAAATACTATGACCTCTTTTCCTTTTGTTGTCTTACCATACCCCAGTTGTATAGCTTCCTCAATCCCTCCTACAATGCCCAAGGTAACACATTGTCATGATATCTCAACAGTTGGTAAGGAATCTACTTCTACTCCATTATCCTCTCCACAATTATTTCCTGATGATTCATCACCACCACTAAAAGAACACATAGCAACTAAACACATATCAGAATAACCTAATATTGTTAACACACTGCCTAATCCATTACACACCTCACCCTCTTTCCATCATAGCTTGTCTCCTAACTCAATATCACCATCTGCCACTATCCATCCTATCCCATTAATAAATACCCCTCGTCCTCCACCTATTGTTTCCTCTCTACCTTACATTACCTCTCAGGACACTTTACCCTCTTGTCTGCTTGAAGTTGATCTTACCTCCTCAAAGTTCCCTAGTGATCCACACATTTTCAAGCCCTTTGCTCAAAACACTCATCCTATGCAAACTAGAGCAAAATCAGCTGCTGCTAGTTCAAGTAATGATACCAAAACAATTCTTCCAACCACCTGCCTATCTCCTATTCTAGAGCCTAGTTCAATACTAGAAGCTCTTGATAGAAATGAATGGAAGGCTGTCATGCAGTGTGAGTATGATTCTTTACTCAAAAATCAAACCTGGAGCCTTGTTCCTCCTAGTGCCGACATGAATACATAGGGAATATGTGGGTTTTTTGAACCAAATTCAATGCTAATAGATCCTTGCAAAAGTATAAGGCTAGGTTGGTA